ATTAAATTCATTTTTCATTTTTTTACACGCAGTTTATCCCACCACCATGTTTTGTGGCATTTTCCTAAAACGGCAGTTACACACTTATCATTCAAAGTTTGTAAGGTCGACGGCAACGTATCATGTATTCGTATAGTGTTACGTAGTCTATGCATCCATGCGGAACATGGGATACAACCTTGCCCGTCGTCTTGTTTGTGTACTCTCTACAAAGTCACTTATCTAATCAACTCGTTTTCCTCTTCGTCGAGTCGAGTGTGCGAGGTATCGCTCTAACCGTGCTACCTGTGCAGCTTTTCTGTTTCGTTTTCTCCCGATCAAAATAAAATGCGTCGTGGTGTCGAGACAAAAACGTAATCATACTCAAGCAGTACCTTTCCGATGCTCTTTACCCTTTGCCGGCGTTAACGCCGAGTATGCGTGAAAATCATGCCGCTGCGTCCTGATGCATGCATACAAATAGATTACCAATACGTGACAAAACCCGTTAGGATACCAAAAAAAGAAAAACATTATTTGTCCACATCCAATCGCGGGGCCTTGCTTAACCTGTGTTTCTTTCGTCGTTTCGATTCGTGTCACAAAATTCCAAGGCTGGACAAATTCTGTCGTCGAGGACCGGCTCTAAGAAGATCAGAGAGGAGTAACACAAAGTTGCTACAGGGGAACAACACGCGTCAACCGCAAGGGAGTTTAGTTGACACTCGCGGTAGCATACGCTTCCGAGCTCTCAAGCAAACTGGCGTTTGACGTCCTGCCATTTTCTGCTGAGTGCCTCATGCTGAGCATTAGTCTGTGATAGAATTAGTATGGCTCATCAAGGGTCTCCGGAAAGAAAGACTTCGATGTACCTCCGCATATTGCAATTTTGTTTGTACAAGTTGCTCCTCCAGGTCTGACAGTTCCTTCTCTAATCGCTCATTCTCTTCGTGTACTTTGCCATTCCGCTTCATGAGGTCGTCACGCTCCAGTTGCCAAGTTTGCTCGATCTCTTCGGGCTGTTTTTCAATCACAATACGGAGCTCCTTGACCTGCCCAGTCAAACTCTCGTTCTTGTCTTTTAATTCTTCATTCTCGACCTTGGTATGAATCAGGTCATTCGCCATGTCTGCTTGCTCACGATCGCTAACTTCAATCCTCTCCTCCAATTTGCGGACCTTAATGGCGAGTTTTATGTTGGCGGACCTGAGCTCCTCTAGTTCTTGCTCACGTTCTTTCTCCGTGCGTGTTTTCTCCTCCCATTCCGCCGCATAGGCTTTGAGGAGCTCTGGCGTGAGCTTGATTTCACAGGCGTCGCGGATTAATTGGTCAGCTCGGTATACCTCCTTGTCAATGTTAGAGGAGCTGCTGCCAAAGAACCCATTCTCAAGGATGCTTCCAGCGCTCGGTGATTGGTCAATATAAACGTCGAAGAGTTTGTCCTTTAAAAAGGTCGTCAATTGTGACATGTCCGACATAGCACGAAGTGCTGAAGAGTTTTTTTGCATAAGAACTATGCCAAATCGAATGATGGCGGATAGGCCTTCGGAAAGGATGAGGTCGTAGATCCTCAAAACTAATTGGAGGGGGAATCTATAAGCGAATAAGGTAAGAAACCACTGAGTGGCATACAGATGGGGAGATATCCCACGGCGATGCAAATGGCAGTATAGTGCAGGCTCCAGGTCCTCTAGTATGCGCTCAAATTGATAAAGATGCATGTGGAGTCCTGGCATATCCTGAATGAACAGGTCTCGCAGTTTGTACTGGTTCATAAGGCGTACCAAGAGACAGAACGCCTCTTCCTCGGGCATATTGAAAAGGAGTGGCATGATGAGAAAGTTCATGCCCTGGGCATATCCCACGCCTTCGTCGTAAAGCGCATAGGCTTTACATACACCAAAAAGCCCATCTTGTAGACCAGCAGCAGCAGCATACTTGGAGTAACTTGTTCTCGCGCCAAGATCCCTCCGAATCGTTTTTTCGAGCTTTTGCAGTGCGGCCGCATCCTCCTTATCCTTCCTCTTCTTTTCTGAAGCTGCGAGAGCTTGGGCTCTCAAAGCAGCTTCAGAAGGTTCAGGAGGTGTCCCCGGTAGTCGCTTGCCACCAGACTGCTCGGACTTAGTGGAAGACGCAGACGAGACAGTAGGCTCTCTCTCAGCGGTGAGATTACCACCGCTGATAATGCTTGTTGCCGTGCTATTGCTGTTCCTGTTTCTGTCTTTCTCAGTTCCCCGGAATACCAACTCCTTATAGACCATCTCCAGATCTTCATTTTTGCTCTGGGCTAGGACTTGCCAAACAACGCCACGGATAGCACTGGGGATGCCGGTTGCAATTGCCCGGTTTAACTCCTCAGGACTTGTTCGAGCAACAGCAGCCGGCCCTTCGTAGACGACAGATTGCCATAGATCCCAGTCGACAGGGGTATCAGCCATAGCAGATGGTCCAGCCGACACGCCCGACATGGTGCCTGGAGCCAAATTGATATCGGCCGGTGGAAGTGGTGACGCTGGTGGTTGGGTGTTTGCTACGTCGGCGGTGTCCACGCCAGGACTCACGATGTTCGTAGTAGCAGATCGCGGAATCAAATTCGCAGAGGCGCTTTGAGAATGCTCATCCTCACCCGGGTTCAAAGATATACCGGCCTCTTCTCGCAAACGTACCATTTTGAACCTGTCTCTTAAGCTATTTCGTGATAGGCGAGGACCCCCATTCGCGCCTGTCGATTCATGCTCCTCTTCTAGTTTACTTAACATCATCTCTGGGTTGCTGGTAAGCGTGGCTATTGAACTTCCTGTGTTCCGCCTTGGGGAACCAGTGTTAGCCAGAGCTGGTGCCCCAGCAGAATCCTTGTGGCCAGAATTCCTGGAGAGCCAAGAAAAGGGGCTCGTAATTTTCCTAGTAGGAGGTGGTGGAGGCGCAATAGTCGTGTCGGCGGGCGCAAGGGGGCTCGTTTTGGGTGGGGATTCGCCATTTGAGGGAGACCATGGCATGGCAGGTAGGGAAGATGTGATGTTGCTAAGAGAAAGCTTCTTTGTGGGCTGCTTTTCTACATCTGGCAGTGCCTGTTCCTCTGTTTCCAGGGTTAGCGAGTGTATTTCATACATGTCAAGCTGTTTGGGGTACGACCAACCTTTAGGCTGCTCACTCGAGGGACCGTCGTCAAGATCCACATTGTCTAGAGAAGCATGTGAAAGACTCTTTGAAGCCCTTGCCGAGTCCACGGCAACGGTCTCGCTTACGTCGTCCGGGTTCTCGGCAACCTCGTCCACCACGTCGCCGTTTGACTCTTCCGCATCTACGGGGCTTTCCGGTGCCTTGGAAGCACCATCAGCATCGGTAGCGATAGGGGGTGGAGACTTTGGCTGCGTGACTTTGCGATTTGTGAGTGAGCGGACCGATCCAGTGTCAATAGCGTCTTCGAAGGTATCCTAGAGGTGCACAAGATCAGTCCAAATACGCCCCAGCGTTGCATGCAGCTGACCGCACAGATTGAGCGACGGTGGGTTCGGGGGCGCCTGTAAGGCATTGATAGCTCTACGTACCGTCTCCTTGTCCGAAGCTGCTGGCGAATCATCGGGTCGGGATACCGCTTCAGAGGTAGGCTCCTCGAGAGTCGACATGTTGTCAGCCGATGAGAAAGCTGCGGCCGGGAGCAAAGGGAGGTTGAGAATGGAAGTCGAAATCGAGATTGGTGATACAGCGGGCTTCGGACGATTATGTACAATGCTCAAGGCGTCCTTGCCATTCGCGACGGGCTACCAGCATGTATTTTGAATGGTTCGGCGTTAGGGATGGCTGATGTAGAGTGCAGGCAGGCAATGCAACGTTGGATCAGTCTGGGGGTTCGTCGAACCGTCGACCGTCGACCGGGGAAGCGGATTAACGAAAGGCAGCACCCAACTGGCGAGAGAAAGACAGGGAGAACAAAATATGCGAATAGAGCGGCACGTATTTTATTGCGATGGCTGGCTGGGGGAAGTGAGCATGTATGTGTAAGTGAAGTTGACGTGCTCTTACGGCTACTGTTGTCCCTTTTTTTGCTGTTGCTGGCCTCTGTTTGGTGAGACACAGCGCCGTGAGCTACCTGCTGCTACGGCACCCACCTGCCGAATGCACCTAACGTACAGTGGGTTTTGTAGGTACCTACAGGTACGTACCTACAAATACTTGATCTGCTCACGGTGATTACGACAACCCACAGTGAGCGAACCCCTTACGCCGAGAGCGCCCAGCTGCACCATGTGCCTGCATTTGGCGCCTTAGCGTGATCTACAGCAGTATTGACTGACCTAAGTATCCGGTATCTATATGCGGGTAGCCGGTAGCTACCTAGATAGGTTAGTGTTTATTAGTAGCCAATGGGTAGTCAGAACATCGTGTATAAAATCAGACTTACGCAGTAATAAATTTTGTTTTTATCTAATACACATACTTAAGCCGAAGGCAAAATACATTGCTTAAAAAAGTTTAGTTAACAACTGCTTATCAAGTCAAGTATATAGCTAGATAAATAAGTACTTAAGGTGAGCGGATAATAGGCTTGGTTATATGGGTAAGGCGAACTTGGGTTTGGAACACAAGATTTCTGTAGGCATCAGATCAGGTATCGGAGTTGATGTCACGCGACGGGTAACACAGCAGTATTGCTGAGCAGAAGAAACAGAATTTGAAATTAAATTGTGACCAGAGATCACTGCATGCTACAATATTTCAATTCTAATAGCACAAGGCATTGCTTATTAGATGATAGCGGTAATATAATTATGCTGCCTCTGCGTTACAATAAACAATACATAGTTCCTGAGAGCCCCTACCCCTGGGTAATTACAGCAAAATGCAGCTAAAGAACCCGCGTGGCGCTTTGTTTCATCTCAAAAAATAGTGTCCAATTAAGTTTTAAGGGAAAGAGACCCCAGCCACAAGGAGAAACCTGTACCACCTCGCCTTTAAACTTGGTTAGGTAATCAGAGATGTTCAGCCACACTAAATTTCAACAAAAATGCAACAAAAGAAGTTGTCCTCGGTGAGGCTCGAACTCACGACCTTTGGATGGCCCGATCTTAGATCGAATCATATAGAATATGAGACCAACGCTCTAACCAACTGAGCCACGAAGACATGTAATCTGCAGGTTGGAAGATGCCGCCCAGTGTTAGATGAAAAATGTGCAGCTCCATCCTGAGGTAATGCAAATAGCATATTCGCGGAAGCAGAATTACCATGATAGATAAAACACGAGTGGGCTTCTCACCAAACTTTGCTGCATGTCGACTGCATTGATGAACGTCTGTCTTCAAAGGCTTGCTGTCCATCCAAGCAATGTCTTCAACTTGTTAACGATAGCAAGCTACCTCAAAATGTCATGTTTATGGGCATTGTCGTCCAAAGTCGGAACCCACGTGTGAAATCACTGGGTATATGTATCACTAAGAAGAGGCGTGATTGACTCGTTGATCTTTTTTACCGTGCACCGGGAAGTCAAGATCTCCCTCTTACTTACCGTCATCACCACCTGGCCTAGCTCAATCTGCGTGCTGTCCACTGTTAATATGCCGAATTCGTACCGACCAATGCTTAGCTCTTCGCGAAGGGTTCCCCGATATGGAAATGCGATGCTATGAGACGCCACTTGCCTCTCGTATTGCGTTAGATTGACAGAGAGGCCCAAGCCTTGTCCGGCCAGAGCGTGCCGGTTGTGTGTTTTTCCAGTGTTTGGCGCCAGCGAAGCTTAAAATCTGGAACTTCCGTCAAACTTTGAGCGGAGATCGATCATCAGACACCAGACGGGACCGAAGACAGAGGCGGTCTAACTGATTCGCCCCGGGCCTGAAGCATGGCAAGCGGATATCCACCGAGTCATGCCCGCTTGACCATTGAGGGAAAAAGAGATGGCGTCTGGGAAGAGGCTCATACTATAATAGACACGCGGCTGTCCGATGCGATGACACCTTCTGCCCTTTAGCTCGAACTTTAACCAGATCTTTTGTCTTCATAGCCTCAAGGGACCACTCCTATTAGCGCTACGTATCTAGTAGAGTGAGGCCTCAATACCGTTCATCATGAATTCGATTTTTCCTTGTGTGACATATTAATATGCTGTGAGCTACGCAATGTTAGTTGCAAGTAGAAAAAATTCTCACCGTTTTAACAGCGTTACCTGTTCGATCTTTCTGTTTAAGAAACGCCGACATTTCACCCCTTTTCACTTCACTTTCGCAATATTAGTTGCAAACTGAGCAGCATCTCAACTGCTTGACAGTGTACTATCTTCGATCGTTCCACTTATAACGCGCCGAAATCTCATCACGCTGCATCTCGGAATATTAGTTACGAACAGAGTGAATCTCAAGAATCTGGTGGCTTTTATTCCTCGATCTTTCTATATCTGTCTACACTTCAGAGCTTCCAACCTACGATATCGCCACCAACCATGGCAAGCAGCGAGAAAGGGCCCCCGGATCATGTATCGCTCACGTTGGCGGTGGTGCTCTCTGGACTCTTCGCAATCGCCGAGTACAACGGTCTCGAAATATTCGTCTTCATCTTCCGCACGTTCCGACGCTGCCGAGGACTTTATTTCTGCAGTGCCATATGCGCGAACGTAGGGATCATGCTGACCTCGCTGTTCTGTTTTCTGCGGTCTTTTAACATCGCCCCTTCTGGTCCGATGGCTATGTCAATCGATATCGGGTGGTGGATGATGGTCTCGGGGCAGTCTCTTATGTTATACTCTCGTCTGCACCTCGTGGTCTATGATCCGAGGAAGCTGAGATGGCTGCTCGCCATGATATTCGCCGTCTTCCTGTTCATCCAGATCCCCGTTGGGACACTGTTTATTCTGGACAATTACAATAAACACAAGGTTTCTGTTGCGTTCGACGCAATGGAGAAAATGCAGCTTGTGGTCATCACTGTACAAGAATAGGTCCTGTCTGGGATGTATCTGTACGAATGGGCACGCATGCGCAAGGAGCTGGAGATAACCAAGGGCCAGAGAGTTCGTGCACTATACCACGAACTGATAATCTTATTTGTCGTGGTTGTTGCACTGGATATGTCTCTCAGTAAGTCTACCCTGAAGTTCCCCATTTATTGGTCTCTAATTATTCATTTGTACACGGTCGAAATTTGTTTCTCTTTACGTGTTAGATGTTATACTTTTCAATTACCGCCGATTTTAATAAAAAGGCCATGCTAATAGTCATCTCATTCCAGTTATCCTTCAGTTCCTAGATCTGTTCGAAGTACAGACAGCCTATAAGCCTTTGGTATACAGCGTCAAGCTTAAGGTCGAGACTTATGTCCTAAACAACCTCGTCAACCTCGTTCTTTCAAGAGACAGTTTTCCAAATGACATATTGCATCGACACGATCCGACGCTACTTAATACTGGAAGTAATGATAGTTCGTGTCGGCCTCGACACGTTTATCCATTAAGTGCGCCCGTTGGTACGACCAAACATGGAAGTGATACTGAGAGTGGATCTCTTTCAACCATGTCAACCGGACAAAGTTGTAATCTAAAAGTGCCGAAAGAGGTATCGAGTGTGTGACTCTGTGGGCGACGGAAGAGCCTCAATTTTCAAATGAGAACATCGGCGAATGCACAAAAGTTTATATGGCACATAATATAGAATACATAATACACTCTTTTTGTGCCAAATTCTCCTTACTGGCATCGGCCAACGAAAGTTGTGAATGTTCAGTACCATGAATATCAACGCCGGACCTGGAGCTAGTATAGGACTGCGACTGTACTTTAGCTCATATCCTCTTTAATACCATTCCACTAAACCTTTTAAAAAAAGAACTACATACTCACAATTAGGTTAGTAGAACTATTGTTCTCTCATATGTAAACAAAGCCTCTTAAATCCGACTGCTCTCCTCTTGAGAAGTAACAGCGCAATTGTCAATATTGTCACTGACGAATAGAATATTATTGAATAAACAAGAAAAGTTTCTTATCGTGCTGTCCTTTCATTACATGTACTATATAGTGAGGGGGGTATCTAGAGAGGAGAAATATATGAATATAGCTAGCTTGGGACTTATGAGGCCCATCTTGTTCTGATCTGTAACTTCGCGAATAGTCGCTGTTTATACTGAATCAATGTAGATTAGCTATTTAATCTTTCTAAGTAGGACTGGAACATCTCAGTAGGTAACGACACTGGCATTAGCCTGAGTTAAGGTTGTCATATCTTCTTGAGACCGTTGTGTCGGTGAGTGACCGTGTTTAGGATGATCGAATCCCTCATGAGCCGTCGCTTTCGGCGACGCCGCAGTAGAAGATATGCCAGAAAAGACGGAAGATGCTCTCCGATGTTCCTGGAATTGGGCTTGAGACCAGCCCCCTGTGCCGGCAAGGAAAGCGACGTCCGGGCCAAATTTAATTTGCCGTGGAAACTGGGGTGAGTGGGCTGGTTGGGGGGCTAAAGCTGCAGCTGAGGTATCTGACTTCGACGTCTTTAATTTCTTCCTACAACCCGGGCGACCTGAATGCGTTTGCTTCTCAGGTGCATTGGGTGGAGAGGATACCTCGTCCGACGAGCCGGCACGCCTGTCCAGATCTTCCAGACGTCTCTTCAACTTCTGGCCTGTGAGAGGATTAATATATGTATAACTATATAAGATATGTGATAGGCGAGTAGGCTACATACGGTAGTTGCGCTGAGCAATGCGGTTCTGTATCCTGCGGCGTTCGGCAAGGTCTGTTATTTTAGTCCAATCCTCGTCCGGCTTCGCGCAGCTGGAGAAAGCAGAGCTTGGTCTATGGGCTGAATATTTTCTGGGTGATAGAGCAGCAGCGTTTTCCTTGTTATGTTGCTCGATACCGATCGGCGAGGTTCCTGATGTTCGGTATGGAGGGGAAAATTCCGGCATGTGTGAGTATTCTATGCGACGACCGACGTGTCGAGAATCTGTAGCGTATCCTGAGTCATTGCTAATACTAAAAGAGTTTTTGGTCACGTCTGTCCAGATTGATTCGTTAAAAGAATCCCGGTCGTCCGCATCTGAGACCCATTGTTTAGCTATTGTTGTCCCATCTGGTGGCAAATTAACCTGGTCAGCGTGGAGATGTGCTTGAATGTCTCGTAGTGTATTGCCCAAGGGCATGATATAGGCCTCCCCAAACATGTCCGTAGATACGACATGGCCATACACTTCGCCCGTGCTCTCACGGATAACCCAAGACCCTGAGTCGCCCGGTTTCAAAGCTGTAGTCACATTAGCCCTCAAAACAATTATGGAAGATCATTCATGCGGAGAATGAAAATGCTTACAGAATCCATCGTCTAGCACGACGTCATGGGTCTCAACAAATTCGCGACCCGGGGCTACTAGAAGACTGGATGTATTTGGTGTAAGCGTGCCTCTCTGATCACCTCTTGAAGTCAGAATGATGACTTTGACTGGCGATTGAATTGGTGTTGATACGAACGACCTGGACGTTGAGGCAGTGGAATGCGTTGGCTTATCAGGTTCATAGACCCAAAAACCCCTTCCGGGGATGTAGCAAGTAGAAATAATTATAACAGGATGGAGTTTAACGAGGGCCCAGTCATGATTAGTTGATGAGGATGTCGACTGAAATGAGTGTTCCGTGATATTACCTATTTGTGATACCAGTTCTGAGGAAACCGAGCCTGGATTATGATCCTGAGCCCCGGGAAATACCTCGTACTGATCATCATCGGATGAATTGGAGAATCCATCGCTGTCGTAGGGGGAGTCTATATCGCTTTCTGTATCACCGTGATAGGAAGGCGACGGACAGTTCGAATTGTCGACCAACTGATTTAGAGCATGACCGGCGGTCAGGCCATATAGCACCCTACGGCCTGCTTTCATAACAGCAATTATGCCTCCGAGTGTTGCCATGCTCGACCCGTGAGCACCTTCAATTCTTATCATAGTACCAGAAGAGGTTATTCCAGTCGTTCCAGCGTACACCTTAAGCTCCTGTGTCGCTAGCTGCCGAAGCCCAGTAGTGATATAAATAGTAATATCATCTCCAATCACCTCTTTGACGTGATTCTGAGCGAAGAATTTTCGCATCCTCTTCTTATCGCGTTTGTCACACTGTATCACGAGGTAGAGGCTATCGTCATGGT